CCCGCTGAGGGTGTTGATAAGACCGTTGCGAGGTCGAAACTGCAGTCCACTCCTGCCAGAATAAGAACAACATTTGGGAAAGCAAGGCTATGTGAAATTCAATGAACTCATATCATTGTGGAAAAATTCTTCTTCTACCAGTCTTTAATCACCTTAAACGAAATTTGGTGAATACACCTCATATTACTGATTTACTGGTAGTCACGACAACAATACTTAATTCGAAAAATAATAATTACCTGTTCTATATTTTAACGATACTTTTATATTGAAGCCCTGAAGGATCGCTTTAAGGTATTTTAAATATAGTTTTTAGACAATTTCTAGTTATTTTATATGTACATATTTTTTATCTATATTTTCGGAATGGCTATCATCATATTTTGACTAGTTTATTGCAAAGTCATCCTTGCCGGCCTCAGATGGTCATGATATATATTTCAGATTTGCCTTTCTGTTTTAGTCTGAAATCTTAGGTTATATCTCCATTTTCCATTTTAAAAAGTCTTTTTCGGCCATTCTAGGCATGGTTCAAGAATGGGATTGTGGTTATGTCAAACTCAATATTATGTAGCTAAGGTATTTAAGGTGATCTAAGAGCTGATAGTTGGCGTTTTCCCGCCCTGAGACGGACAGGCCTCACAAGAGGTATTCCCTTCCAGAAAGGGTTGCATTTCCGGCTGAATTCGGTACCGGGTCGGCCAGGAACCCGGTGGGCCGGAGGGCAGATGAGATATTCAAGGCAGGAAATATTTGGGTAATATCTGTTCGTAATTGCATTTAACGGTGTTACTTAATTTCTATATGAGTAGACTTCGAGACTGACGGTAATTCTTGAATACGAGCTTAGTCATTCTAGGTAACTTCAAGTGCTGTTTTGGCTACTCTCAGTCGCCATGGAGGCTAACTTGGTTGGTCTTTCCGGCCTCAAACCAGCCGGACACAATTTTTGAGGAAAAGAGACAGATTTCCTGGACAGGCTTGTAGAAAAGTTGTCAGAAACTTATCTTCTCATGACCCTTCTAACCGGTGAGTTGTATGCACACTCAACCCAACCCGTCTTCTCTTCTCTTCAGGACCTGGTCCACAGCCTCGTGGTAGCCGTGAATGATCCGACGCGTGTCGCCCGGGCACACATCGACTCTCGACTTTCCGGCTACCAAACGGAGGCCGGCGAGGCGGAATCGTGGCTGGCCGATCTGGAAGCCGCCATCGAGGATCTGCGTGTGGACGCGCTCTCGCGGCGTTGTCGTGTCAGCGTCGCCGAGGTGGAGACACTGGCGCTCCACTTGAGCAGGATTGGCCGGCGGCTGGCCATGTTCAAATGTAGGCCGGGCCTGTGCATGTTGCTAATGCTCTCACAGCAGCACTTTTCGTGCTTCCTACTCCCTCAAGGCGGAAGGCATTAACGCAGTTAATTACAGATTCATTTTATCCCCAAGCCCTGTTAGCCTGTACTCTTGATTCCGCTCTTTTCTAAATATCGCATGCCTACTATCATCCGAGCATAAATGGGGATTAAGCGGATTTTGAGTGTTTTGCTGTGAGGTAGACACTTTGTGGACCGGCCCACTTTCAGCAACCCGCCACTGATTGACTTCGTGTTCTGTTGAAATCTAGTCCAAACGGAGTGTGTGACCAAACTCTGCTTCCGATGATAGTAATTGGATCCAATAAAGTACCTGATATTTTGAGCATATAAATGCTCACAACTTTTAATGACACAAAGCACATACAGTAAAGTAATAATGGACAGGGTTCATCTGGTAGAGTAGTTTTATCTTGCGAAGTGATGCAGTCTCCATTTAAGCAACGAATTCTGCCACTTTCCTCATTACACGATACTGCTCTGAGTGAGCTAATTGCAGCCCTGAATATGGATAAATCTAAATTTTCCCACATTCGTTCTTGCATTGTTGTCCTCCTTTTCTGGGGAAACTTTAAAATTATTTGAGTAATAATTGCATTTACTCCAGGTCGCATAAGATGAAGAAGAACTGATGTTTGAATTTTCACAGAACCAGATAAATAGGCCACACAAAATCATCCACTTTCATGTAGGCCTTCGATTAAGGTATTCACGTCCAGACTGGATCGGACTGCAGTTTCGACCTCGACTGTGTCTAATCGGAGCTGGGCACTGTACCGTTTCTATGTTCTGCATGTGAACGTATTTGCCAAGACAGACGATTAGAGTATTTATATTCCACTTAAGTAGGCTGGCAGTGTGTTCGACTGATCATAGCGATTCGGTCGGTTTGACTTGGCAACCGTAGGCAAGTTCAAGTGAGTTCCTGCAAATGCATCCAGTCCACTTTAACCCTTAATTTGACATCATCAACTGAAACGTTTTGTTGTATTCTGTGTTGTTTGGTCGACTTAGTCTGTTGGGCTTACTTCCATTTCGAGTAGAAGTGTTTGGTGAAGAGATTCGAAGGTCCGTTCCACCAGAAGA